ACTAAAAATGCACATTTTTTGTACCTTTAATCAACGTTTTTCAGAAAAATCCATACAGAAATGAGTCCTTTAAGAAAGGCGTTGAGTCAAAAAACAAAAATTTGAAAAAAATTCACAAACCTGTGGAAAAATGCAAGTTTCTTCACTTTGAGTATTTTGACGAGAGCCTGATTCCACCATGCTGCCTCACATATCTAATGTTCTTTACTTCACCATTGTCTGTGTGAAACGACTTTTTGAGGAGCTGTATTGTTTGTGAAAGGACCGTTGGTGGTTCACGGGCACGTTATAAATAGAAGGAAAGTTAAATTCAGTGTCAAAGAAGGTGTATACACATCGCACCAGACAAAACAAAAATGAAAATGGTCCTTACCATATTTGTCAAGTTTGATGAAAGACTACATATCACTATCTGGGACTCAATCACATTCTGAGAAGACTCGACAACCTCAAGTAGTATTCCTTGTTGAGCGATTAAAAAAAAACTAGGTGTTTTTGTGCGTCAACACAATTTCGATAATTTAGGAGTCGGGCTTCCAACCCTGTCTGTCAGGGCCAGCCCGGTCTGAGAGGGATACAGTACTCCCCGGTCTGAGGGTTGAGAGGGATACAGTACAACCCGGTCTGAGGGTCTGAGAGGGATACAGTACACCCTGGTTTGAAAGGGATACAGTACAACCCGGTCTGAGGGTCTGAGAGGGATACAGTACACCCCGGTCTGAGGGTCTGAGAGGGATACAGTACACCCCGGTCTGAGGGTTTGAGAGGGATACAGTACACCCCGGTCTGAGGGTCTGAGAGGGATACAGTACACCCCGGTCTGAGAGGGATACAGTACACCCCGGTCTGGGAGGGATACAGTACACCCCGGTCTGGGAGGGACACAGTACACACCGGTCTGAGAGGGATACAGTACACCCCGGTCTGAGAGGGATACAGTACTCCCCGGTCTGAGAGGGATACAGTACTCCCCGGTCTGAGGGTCTGAGAGGGATACAGTACACCCCGGTCTGGGAGGGATACAGTACACCCCGGTCTGAGAGGGATACAGTACTCCTCGGTCTGAGAGGGATACAGTACTCCCCGGTCTGAAAGGGATACAGTACTCCCCGGTCTGAGAGGGATACAGTACTCCCCGGTCTGAGAGGGATACAGTACAGCCCGGTCTGAGGGTCTGAGAGGGATACAGTACAGCCCGGTCTGAGGGTCTGAGAGGGATACAGTACACCCCGGTCTGAGGGTCTGAGAGGGATACAGTACACCCTGGTCTGAGAGGGATACAGTACACCCAGGTCTGGGAGGGATACAGTACACCCCGGTCTGAGAGGGATACAGTACACCCCGGTCTGGGAGGGATACACTACAGCCCGGTCTGAGAGGGATACAGGACACCCCGGTCTGAGGGTCTGAGAGGGATACAGTACACCCCGGTCTGAGAGGGATACAGTACACCCCGGTCTGAGGGTCTGAGAGGGATACAGTACACCCCAGTCTGAGAGGGATACAGTACACCCCGGTCTGGGAGGGATACAGTACACCCCGGTCTGAGAGGGATACAGTACTCCTCGGTCTGAGAGGGATACAGTACTCCCCGGTCTGAAAGGGATACAGTACTCCCCGGTCTGAGAGGGATACAGTACTCCCCGGTCTGAGAGGGATACAGTACAGCCCGGTCTGAGGGTCTGAGAGGGATACAGTACAGCCCGGTCTGAGGGTCTGAGAGGGATACAGTACACCCCGGTCTGAGGGTCTGAGAGGGATACAGTACACCCCAGTCTGAGAGGGATACAGTACACCCCGGTCTGGGAGGGATACAGTACACCCCGGTCTGAGAGGGATACAGTTCACCCCGGTCTGAGGGTCTGGGAGGGATACAGTACACCCCGGTCTGAGAGGGATACAGTACTCCCCGGTCTGAGGGTCTGAGAGGGATACAGTACACCCCGGTCTGAGGGTCTGAGAGGGATACAGTACACCCCAGTCTGAGAGGGATACAGTACACCCCGGTCTGGGAGGGATACAGTACACCCCGGTCTGAGAGGGATACAGTTCACCCCGGTCTGAGGGTCTGGGAGGGATACAGTACACCCCGGTCTGAGAGGGATACAGTACTCCCCAGTCTGGGAGGGATACAGTACACACCGGTCTGAGAGGGATACAGTACACCCCAGTCTGGGAGGGATACAGTACACCCTGGTCTGGGAGGGATACAGTACACAAGCAGAAGGAACAAGATTGTGGTTAGAAGATTCATGTAATGCTCAGCCCAACATTTCATCTGGACCTCTTCACTGTAAGGAGAATTTTATCCTTGTCCTTTAATGGAACACTTTCGTTCCTGAATGTACGGACTAGTTTCTTGTTTATCTTACTTTGTTCTCGCAGTCAGCTGTTCCTTTTGCCCCCCCCCCCCCAACAATTCCTTTGTGTTGTCACTTCTTCGACATTTTAGTTACATCTTTCGTGTATATTTATAGCCCCCCCCCCCCCCCCCCCCGTCTCTCTCTCCCTCCCTCTCTCTCTCTCTCTCTCTGTGTCTCTCTCTCTCTCTCTCTCTCTGTCTCTCTGTCTCTCTCTCTCTCTCTCTCTCTCTCTCTCTCTCTTTCTATATATATATATATATAAATATAAATATATATATATATACATGTATATATCTGCTAAAGAAGTGATTCCAGGAGGGAACTCTAAGAAGTTCCGCCCTTATTGGTACAAAGAACGGGAACAACTGACCCAGGCCAGAAAGAAAGCCACACGGCGTGCGGAGAAGAACCCAACAGCCGGAAACAGAAAGCACTACAATTACCTGACGGCCAAGGTAAAGCTGAAGACCAAAAGTGCGAAACGACAAACATGGAGAGAACACTGTGGAGAACTAGATCTGCGTAAGGACGGGAGGAAAGCCTGGAACCTGCTCACCAATCTCTCAGGTACAAAAAGAAGGAAAAACCCCGCCCCAATGAAACCAGCTGAGAAAGGAGAGACATGCAGAGCTGAGGTTATGAATAAATACTTTGCTAACATCAACAAGAAAGGAAACCAGAACAAACTGAGCCACACAATAAAGCAGCTAACCAAAAGGGCAGAACAGACCCCCAAGGCAAACCTGAAGGTGTTTGAGAAGGAGTTTACTCTGACGGAATTGAAGGCAGCCCTAAAAAATTATAAAAAGAGAAAGGTCCCAGGACCACATCATGTCACCAATGAGATGATCCTCAACCTGACACTCTTCCCTCTCCATACTCCTGGACTTCTTCAACAGGACCTGGAACGAGGGACAGCTCCCAAACAGAATGGAGGAAAGCAAACATCACACCAATACTGAAGAAGGACAAACCAGCAAGCCAGCCTTCAAGCTACAGACCAATCTCTTTAACATCATGCCTGGGTAAGGTCGTCGAGAGAATGGTCAACGACAGACTGTACTGGTGGATGGAAAACATGGGCACAATCAGCACATGGCAGGCAGGATTCAGGAAAGGCAAAAGAACTACGGACCACCTCATCAGATTTGCCCAGAAGACCAGCGATGCCTTTCAAGAAAAAGACAATGTTGTGGCTGTCTTCATCGACCTGGGGCAGGCGTATGACAGTGTGTGGAAACAGGGACTATTCTACAAAATGCAAAAGCTTGGGATAGCAGGAAGGATGTACAGCTGGATCAAGAACTTTCTGTCTTGCAGAACTATCCAGACGTCATGTGACAGCAAGATTTCTTCACAGAGGGCTCTCGATGAAGGCCTACCACAGGGGTCAGAACTCATCTGTGCCCTCTTCCTGATGTCATCTCCTGCCAGAAAGCACTCTACGCTGACGATTTACTCATTGGGAACAAAGGAAGTGACATGAGAGCTCTGAACCAAGCCATCAACACTGACCTGACTACTATATCGTCCTACTGCCAGCTATGGGAGAAATAGAATTTCACCAAAAAAAAAAATAAATAAAATAAAAATATATATATATACAGTATATATTTTTAATTTAACAAAAGACACGAAAACCCCGTTGTACCGCCAGACCCGCTGTACCACCAACTTCATGCTCGTCCCAAGGTAGGCTGTATTAGGGTTTGACTATACATGTACATGATATTCTCATTGTTGTTTTGGTGTTCCTATCAGGACGCTGCTTTAAAGTTACAAGCTAGGCTAGACCTACTCTTGTACCTGCTTGTGTTCCGTACATCTGTCTGTCGGTTTATGGTATGTTTCTGCTTCTTGATTCTTTAAAGGTTCTCGTGGGGTTCCATGTACGCTTATGATAACCCATCTCCCCCCTCCCCCTCTCTCTTTCCCTTCACTTCCTCTGTCTGTCTGTCTGTCTGTCTGTCTGTCTGTCTGTCTGTCTGTCTGTCTGTCTATCTGTCTGTCAGTCTGTCTGTCTGTCTGTTCTGGAAGGGACATTCATTCTTGTACTCTGCCTGCAACTACAAGGAGCCTTATCTGACATTACAGATGGCGTTGTAGCAGCACAGATGACTCATTCAACGAATTCCAAAGGCAGTGTCGGAGAAAGGTGGAGGCTTACTTGGTGTCATCAAGACATAAAGAGGTCTGATGCTTGGTATTGTCGTAACCTTATCTTAGCTAGGTAAAGCCCGCTTGATCCTAACTCTCAATTTTGAAAATCCAGTCTGTGCTGACTGATGGCACTGGGGCTTTTCTTTGAGTTTTGTGGAGAGAGCATTCATTCTATGATCAGAGACCTAGCAACACTAGGTCTCTGCTAGCCTATCTTTCTTACTTGTGTTCTAAACAAAATTTCTTGTTGAGAATCTCAAAACAACACCCTCAAAGAAACAAACGAAGGAGTGACAGCGTGAAAAAAAAGAAAAGAAAAAAAAAAGAATAAAGAAATGAGAGAAACTCAAGTGGAAAAAAGAATGATAGGATTGTGATATTGTGATATTTTATAAGGCTAATTTTACGAACCACGGCGTATTTTGCTAGTAGAGTAGGTAGACTGCTAAAACTGATTCTCACCTAATGAACCACCGCGAAGCTTGTTGCTGCTGTTGTTAGTGTGAACAGTGAACAGCAAGCTAATACTGCTCGTCTTTCACTTTTTCTAACAAATGACTAGATCTAGATCTAGCATATATTAAAACAAATTTTTAGTTTAGTCCAAAGAATACTTTCACTCGAGGTCATTGCAAGGAGCGTTGCAAAGTTAGCTCCTCACCTGGCAGTTGTACTTGGGCCTGCCTTGCTGGCTTAGCTGTTGGTCTTCGGCTTGGACTTCTTGATGTTACCCTGACTCTGACAAAAGTAGATCTAAAATTTAAAGGTTCCGCATTGTCTTAAAAACTTAGACAAATCTTTTCGGAAAAGCAGAGGATGAACTGCTCAACACATTAAGAAAAAAAATTCAATCAATGAACAGTTTTATTCAATCTGCACATTCTAGATCTAGATCTAGATCTATATCTAGATCTAGATCTAATAGTAATTGCCTGTTGCCTATGCTTACAGTTCAGTAGACAAGAACTTCCTCATCTCCGACACTCCTCCTGTTGTTATTATTTAGTTTCAGTTTGTATTTGAAGTAATAATAAAAAGAAAGGCATTAAGTTGCAACTACGAAGGATATGTCTTCTTTCAAAAGATGAATACATATGATTTCTCTTAACTGTTCCAAGTGCTATGAAAAGAGTGGATCACATGGAATTTCTTCCGCTGTTGGTTCTTTAGGCCTAGATAAAGTTTCTCTGAACTGTAGACTTTTGTTCAGATGGACCTAACACTAAGCTGTGATGGCGGTAGTTATCAAAACTTCCAAGTGGACACTTCTGGATCCTTCAGTATTAGCAAAACAACAGTACAACAGAGTGAAAATACTGAAAAGATTTTGTTTTCATGATTCTGATTGTGCATTCGGTGGCAAAGAATCAAAGGTAAAGGTGTGTGGGTATGCTGAAGCGATTAGTGACAGTGCCTCAACAAGCAACAATATTACTGCTACCGCTGAAAGTTTACAGGCATCTGACCAGTTGTCAGGAAGAGTATCTCCAGAAAGTTTTCAGTACCAGTACAAAGACGATTTATTTGCAGGTGAGCAACAGATTGCTTCTTTCTGTTCAATATATAAGACATTTTCAGTGTAAATATTGTTATTGAAATATGGACAGATTGTGTGTTTTGTATAGATTGAAGAGAAGAGTTATAGAAACTCAACATTCATGATAGCTCTTTAATTTATTTACAGTTTTCAGAGAAAGATTCCTGTGCAATTTATATCTCAGGGTTAAAATGCTGTGGTATTAAAAAGCATGCAATCGCAGGCGGTAGCATAAAAAATACTCATAATAAACAAGTATACATACGGACTGCATGTTTTGCCAAATTGAGATACCACTTTTGGTAGTTCTAGTCAAAAAACCCCGAACTGGCCTGATGTAGCTGGCACTTTTCGTACTGTGCACACCACCACTGACCAGCAATTCTTTTTCAGGATTGAAGAAAATGAACATTTGCAGGTTGTGAACAAAATGCAGCCATAGTTAGACTGCTCAGAATTTGAAATTTATAGTCCATTTGCTGTCAACATTTAATATAAGCTTTGTATTAAGAATAGTTTTAGCCTGCAGGTTCTAGCAGAGCTGAAAAAACAAAGTATATAATTCTTCGATTTCCCTAATTGCAAAATGTTTGATATTAGAAGCACTGTTTACTCATGGAATTACTCTAATGAGAAAGGCTACAGGAAGGACACCTCTATTGAAAAACAAGGGGTAGATAATGCCCTCTCTGCCTCGGAAGGCAAATGATTTACAAGTAAGAGACTTGGAAAGGAAATCTATCGCCAAAGACGGATGTGCTTGGCCAATAGTGCATAATGGCAGTACAACACGTCTATTATATGAATGGACAGAAGTGCTGTTTTCGTGATTCATGTTTATTTAGATGACAAAGAGTACAAGGTGAAGAAAAACTCATTTTTACATTTACATTATTTGGAGCTTCTCTTAAATTTTCTTTGAAACTCCACAAAATGCTGGGTCCTGGGGTGCAAATTAGGAACTGGAGCATTTGATCTCAGTGAGTTACTTGAAACAGAAGTCTTGCTTTCAGTCTGAAATAGTTGTTTTATTTATATTATGCCACGTTGCAGTTTACACTCCATTCATGATGAACAGCCAGGCTGAGAGTATCTGCCGCAGAACTGAAGATCCTGGTCAGGAAGAGACTACTAACAGAAAGGTAAGTATAAGCACAGTCACTATCAACTCGTTCACTTATACTTCATGTCTTCAGAAGGCTTATCAGCTCCCTGGGTTCACCATCTTCAGATTTAATCTGCAACAGAATAAATCTACTATGTGAAGAATTCATTTTGTGATCTTGTGATGGCTTGATTCTCTCCTATCTCATTAACTTAAGTTTTTACCGACTTAAATCTCCACGGATTTTGGTTCATGCAGACATATATTGCTACAATGTTCCCTTATTTCACTGTTTAAAAAAAATAAAAAAATATAAGAGATTCTCAATTCCTCATTTTTTTGCTCTAGAATAATGTGGATAGTTTTCTTGATAAATCTCTGAAGACTTATATGAGAATGATAATTGTTTATGTCCTGTACATGTGTATTTTCTGAAGACTTATATGAGAATGATAATTGTTTATGTCCTGTACATGTGTATTTTCTGAAGACTTATATGAATGATAATTGTTATGTCCTGTACATGTGTATTTTCTGAAGACTTATATGAATGATAATTGTGTCCTGTACATGTGTATTTTCTGAAGACTTATATGAATGATAATTGTTATGTCCTGTACATGTGTATTTTCTGAAGACTTATATGAATGATAATTGTTATGTCCTGTACATGTATTTTGATTGTGTTTGTTGTTGTCTTGCCAAATGTGATGAAAGGATTCATGAGAAGGGAAGAGAACAATTATTAGAGCTCAATGAATCTCTTCAAAGTCAATTCTGTAACGTTTGCCATGACAATGTTCTTCATTTTGTTTGTCATTTTAAAAAGTTTATTTCAAGTGCATATAAAAAATAATTTGGGATTGTTTTGTCTGACTTCATTTGTTTTTCATAATTCATTTCACTTTTCACAGAGAAAACGAAAAACACCTTGTGCTGCAGGTGACAGTGGGAAAAATGGAAAGGTAATTTGTATCTGTGTATGAAAGTTACTGATATATGATCTTTGTTGACTTTTTCAGAGTCTCTCAGTGTTGGTTTTAAGCCGTTAAATGTTTGCATGCCGATATAATTTCAGCTGATCTTGATTAATAAAATGATTGAGTTTGGCCTGACTTTATTGTAAAGGAAAAATAAAGATCTGAGTTCTTTTGCTTTCTTTTTCCTCTCAGTATATTACCACTACATGTTGATGTTCGTTTTAAATTAAGTTAATTAAGATCTGAGTTTTTATCTTCACTTGGTTAGAAATGTTTTGATGGTGTCACCGTTTTAGGAAAAACTGAATATGTAGCGTACTTGAAGCACTGACTGGTCAAGGTAAGTGAGGATTTTGTGAAAATTGTCTTGCAGACTCACAGTTTAAAAAACAAATTCTTACTTACTTTACTTTAACTTTTCCGATCCAGCGGCCATTTGGGTTCTAGCCCTTCAGTCTGTCGATATGGCAAAGAATTTGCAGGTTTTAATCAGCTGTGCTTTGTCGCTGTATAGAGTATTTCCAATGTTTGGGGAGGCAGGTAGGTAGGTGCTACGCAGGTCACAAAGTGCTGGGCAGTTAAAGAGGTGGTGTGGTACTGTTTCAACCTGGCAGTCGCACAGCGGGCAGTCGGGTGGGGTATCCTTGCGGATCCTATTAAGGTAGGAATTTAGTGGTATGTGTTGTGTTCGTAGGCGAAAGATCGTGACTTGTTCTCTTCTACTCAGGGAATTTATTTCATCTTTAGACTTGGGGGCTGTCATGTGTGCAAATACAGTTCTTCCAGTTTTGCCCATTGCCCATCCATTGAGCCACTGTTCCCTGGTGTTGCATTTGATGATGTTCTTGGCTGTCTGTTGTGATACTGGGTTGTGTGGTTGTGTTTGTGATGCTCCCTTTTTGGCAAGGGTGTCTGCTCTGTCATTTCCTGGGATGTTTAAATTCTTAAAAGTAGCATCTGTAAATTTCTGGCATATCTTTACGTCATACGTTGAATAGAACAGTTTTTTTTTCTTCTCAATACTGTTACAGGTCTGTAAACTAGTGTGCAATAGCCAGTCATAATCTCTATTCGGTCAACTTTCAAAGGAGCTGTCCATTTACATGTTTACATGCAACCTATTTTTTATTTGTTGAATAATTGGGTCACATTGTCTCTACTTTTTTGCTTTTGCTTAATTGACTCTTTGAAGATGCGTCAGCGGATAATCTGCTGACATGGGAACCTACCATTGTCGACGTATCAGCGGATAATCCGCTGACAATTTTATATGTGTTTATTTGCTAAACTAGTGGTCTAACCTGTATATCATTGGAAAGCTTGTCCAAAGCCCTATAATATTTTTGATTCCTTTTATTTGCTTTTGAATTAGGATCGCTTTGCATGGCGTTTGTTTTTGGCCCCCTGTTTCGTACGCACAGTTTCTATCCAAAATGGTGAGCTCCAGGCGACGTGGTTTGATGCGGACCGAAGAAGCTTTGGAATTGTTTATAAATGATGGCAGTGATGAGGAGTTAGATTTAAAGTGAGAAGAAGAAAGTTCAGATGATCATGATGACGAATCTGTACCATTGGTTGGTAGATCTACCCTATCCCCAAGTCTCATCTTGTTGAAAAAACATTTCTTTTGAGGGCAACTATAGGGATCTTACAGCCTTGATGAAGATAAGACTGGTATTGTGAATGTATCATTGATTGGTATTAGAGAAAAATACAGAAATTCTACTTTTTAATGGTGTAAGTGTGATTTTTGTACTGTTGATAGGTAAAAAGTGGTCACTTGGTGAAAAAGGGCAAAGAAGGTGCGTCACAGGTAGGGTTGGGTCGGGCTCGCAAAATTAGCGTCCGCGAGTAACAAACTACCCGCTGGCATTACCCGCAAACGAGCGGACGGGTAACGAACTGTCCGTTTGTGAAGAGTAGTTCGCTACTCGCTACACATCGGACAGAGACAACAGTTCGTTTAGCGAGCGAGCGGACGGGCGGACCGAGTGACTCCATGCATTCGAGCGGGCGGGCGGACGGACGGACGGGAACGACTCCTTCCATTGCCTACAACTTACAACCCCCCGCCCCCCCCAAAAAAAATCAAAAAATCACCCTCCTGCCTCACATTGTAGCTAGGCGTTCATGACGGAAATTTTCGCCCCCCTCCTGTGGCCGTTGCGACAATTGGAAGGTACACACAAGGTGAAAGGTTACACTCATAGTACTACGTCACCAGCCTCTCTCACTACCTGTGGCACCGCTAGTGGTTTGAAACATCAGGCCTAATTAACAAACAATAGACGACAGGTCTAATCTCGCGTCGAGTATCTCGTCTGCTAGAGTTCGTCCGTTCGCCCGCCCGCTCAGTGAATAAAATTGTTGAGCGGACCCAAAAGCCAAAAAAACGAACTGTCTTGAGGTTCGCAGTTCGCTCTCATGGCCGTCCGTTACCCGTTCGTTCTGACTGAGTCCGCGAGTAAAAAACCCGTCCGTCCGCTCGCCCCAACTCTAGTCACAGGGTATCGAGAAAGGGAAAGTGGGTGCGACTTCAAAGAGTTAATGGGAAAAATTTTATAAATGAAAATGACTTCAGGTAATCATTATAATTTTTGCATCATTTCAATTCATTGACTACACATCTCTCTCTATAACTTCACTTGTACAGGTAAATGGTGCCAGGCCTGACTTTATGCCATCAAAGAAATCTGACAGAGAAAATACAGTGAAAAGATTTAGTGTCAACGATAAAAAGTTCTGGTGATGTTGAGATCTTCTGAGATCTAGATGTCCAAAAACTAGTTGGTCTTTTCTGTAATAAACCCTTTGTTCTATACTGGGTACAGAAATGGTACAGTCCATGCCGGCTTTAAGCACGGTCGTCGGGAGAAAGTTTAAGCGTGCTTAAAGCCGGCACGGACTGTACTGAGTCTTTTAGTTGTTCTTAAGTAAGTGGGTGGCTATCTTTTTTGGAAGGGAAGCCCTTACCCCTTTACCTGGCCAGAGTGTTGTTAAGTCGATGTAGTATTATCATGGCAGCTGATAGCTATTGTTATTTTTCTTTTGAACAGATTATTGGGGCTATAAAAGAACTTTTGCCTGAGATCTTAGAAAGAGGTCGTGAACTGACCTACTTTAGGGAGGAGAAAGATGCGCTGAGAAAGTACGCCAACAACAAGAGTGCACGGCTGGCAGCATTGATCCCAGGATGTGAAGATCTTTTTCAGAATTTGTGTGCCCAGACAGAGAGTCAGCAACCTGGACAAACGGAGTTGACACATGCTTGTAAACCTATGCTGCTGTTACACGGTAAGATGTGTATTGCTGTGTCATAACTAATCACTGTAACGTATTTGCTTGGCTGGATCGGTCGTAGCAACAGTAATAGTGACATAGATGCAAGGGAATGACAGAAGTAGGAAGAACAAGTCATCAAACTGACATGATGTGTGTAATAGAGGGGGATCCTTTTCCACTGGGATGTATAAGATCATTTATAATTGTAAATGGTCTGTTTTCGAACAGATGTTGCACACAAGCTACTGACGACTTTTAAAAAAGAAAACCTATAGTCATTGCTCTCCATGTTTTTAAGCTGTTTTAAACCTCTTGGTTCCTCACTTTCTTGCAAATTATTTGGTTTAGGATGAAGTGAAAAAAAAAACGCGTTATAGCTGATTCATTATATTTTAATTTCTTCTCCAGCAATGTTTCATTTACTTGTAGAGAAAAACTAAAAGGACTGATCAGGTGTGGCTAAAATAAGTCGGATCAGCTTTGTGTCAATTTAATGGCAATTTTTGTCAATCCCAATGTAGTGCTCCTTGCTTTAAATCAGGATGACAGGACAGGAGCCGTCAATGCTGTGGGAAAGCAGAGATAGATTTGTGTTCATTTCGGAACTTCACGGTGACATTAAAGATGGTTCCAGTAGGGAACGGGATAGCGGGTGCCCACATCCCTCATGACTCATCAGAGCAGAGGAAGATAGGACTAATGAGGAAGATAGGACTAACGCTAACATTATTTTTAAAAAACAACAGCAATCAAATAACAGAAGCATGTTTTCTTATAATTATAAACGTAAGCACCATCCCACATCATCACTTACCACCACCATCACCGTCATTACTAAGGTCATCATTGCTCTCAGATCCTTCACAAACATCTACAATTATCTTGAACATCTATATGCAACAGTTATATGTCATAATAATTTTGTACGTTATACATTATTGGGCACTCTCATACGCACATTTTTCTACTAATCAGATGGCGTCAATATCATAGAAATGGGCCAGGGACAAAAAAAAAAGAAAAAAAAAAAAGAGATAGATTTGTGTTGATCCAGTTTGAAAGTGTCGGGGTTGGTTTGTCCGATGGTGATGTTTCGTTGTTTAGGTGGTATGGGTATAGGCCTACATTTTTATACTCCTCACATACCCCAGATGCTGGTGTCAAAGTGGATGCAGCAACTTTGATTGGAAGATGTGTGAGGAATCTGAGAGATTGTGCTGTTGACTTCTTAGTGGATGACCACTTGTTTTTGGTGCCTGCCAAATCAATGTTTCTCTCCTGTACCTTCTGGAATTTCATCAAAGGAGGGTACATGCAGCTGACAGGTGAGACAACTATGTATTTTCTATGGGAATGGTTGCTGCTCAGTTTTTGTGCTTGCTGAAGCTGATAATTGACTGTGTTAACTTGTATATTTTGAGGACAAAAGTGTTATTATTGGGTAAAATTTAAAAACAAAAATGTTGCTCCTGAGCATAAAAGAATTACATGTCTGCGTGTCAGCGTAACTCGGGAAATGGGCAAATAGAAGACTCTGTGCAGTTCATTGTTATTTAAACAAGTAATACAACCCCCCCGCCCCCTCTGGATAAGTTATGCAATACGTTAGAGTAAAATTTTACTTATTGTTTCAATCTGAATTATTGTGGAACTGTTTCAGTTTGTTCATGTGTGCAGTATATGTGAGGCAGCGGGGTGGAATCAGGCTCTCGTCAATTTTTGGGCATGACGAGTTATTGGTATCATTTTAAAGCTTGTTCAATTGTCTTTATTTGTATGAAAAAAATATCCATTTATCACGAATACAAGTCGAGATATTTGCGAATGAAGGAGGTTGGGGTCACTTATTTTTAGAGGTAAAATTAGTGAGAAAATGGCCTCCAGAGATTAGTTATTTCCTTAGCTTAAGAGTCCTTGGTAACTGAAAATTTACCTTTTCTGTGCCTTTAATCAACGTTTTTCAGAAAAATCCACACAGAAATGAGTTCTTTATTGGGCATGAAAGGTGTTGAGTCAAAAAACAAAAATTTGATAAAAATTCACGAACCTGCGGAAAAATGCAGGTTTCTTCATTTGGATTATTTTGACGAGAGCCTGATTCCACCACGCTGCCTCACATATGCTTTTGAATGTTTTCGTTTCAGATGGTGGAGGCTATGACTTGATAGTTGTGGATCCACCGTGGCGCAATAAGTCTGTGAAAAGGAAAAAGAGGTGGTTGTTCTATGTACTTTCTGTACTGCTTTCCTTTATGACGTTTATCGTGTTAGATGGAAATTAGCTATACTATACGGTGGAAGGTTAATTGCTTGCCTTTGGTTATGTTTGTATGATGTACAATAATACAATGTGGGAATTCAATTTGAATTCAAAGATAGTACTGCAATCTACATGATATCTTGTATATTTTCTGTGTTATAGTTTCAGAAATATCTGTATTGATGTTGTAAGTATTGTCACCATCTTTTAGTTTTAGTAAGAGTTTTACGGCACTTGCAACATAATAAGGTCATATAAGTGCCGAAGAATAGATGTTACAAAAGAGTAATGAACACAAAAAAGGTGGAGGAGAGAAGGACGATAGATGTTTGATAGGAAAGAAGGAGCAAACCACGCCAGAGCACCTGCCAACCACCCACTGTCACCATCTTTTTGAAACGATTAACACCATTTTCAAAATTTTTTTTGGTACTAATTTCTCCCATTTTAAGTGTGTTGATGTGAAGTTTACCGATGTAAGCTTGTTTTGTATTAATTTTCCATACTGATCATTTTTAGTTTTAGTGATATTTTTGATCCTTTGTCTTTTTAATTTTTTTAAGTTACTGGACTTTTGAGGAAAGTGACTTAAAACAAATTCCTGTCCCTGCTCTGGCGAATGAAGCATGCCTGGTCTGTGTGTGGGTGACAAACAAGGACAGCCTCATCTCTTGTGTCAAAAATGATTTGTTCCCTGCCTGGGGTGTAGAGCTGCTGTCTGAGTGGCTCTGGCTCAAAGTAAGACTGGATGATTTCATTGTCTCTCATTTAACCCTATCCGTACGTCGTGTTTTACCCTCGTATCTACACGATGTGGGAAACTCTGTGCCACCACTTTCCAAAGAGGAAATTTACTCATTAATCCGATCCGTACACTTTGCATAGCATTCTGTCAAAATGATTTTTTACGAAATACTGAAAGTTTCAAAGTAAAGAGATCTCCGTCCTAGAAGTATTCTAAAATGTGAAGAATACAACCCCGGGGGTACAAAATGACCCCAGGGCGTACGCATAGGTTTAATCATTTGTGCTGTTTTGTTGTCATGACTTACCTACAACTTGTCTTGCTTTTTTGGAACAATAATTAAATAGATCTTGTGAAAAAAGAATGCTGTCCCCTTTTTTGTGAGTGAAATTTGAAATAATAGCATTTGTGAATAAATAATACATGGTTGAGTGGGTGTGTTTGAAGAAAAAAAAAGGGGGGTGTAGGAGGAGGGATGTATGAGTATAGATAGATGTACTTTGTTTTGTATATATATTTGAAGGTCCATTAGACTAAATTTTTGAAACTGCAATGCCTAACTTTCTTGACCAGTTAATGTTCTTGATGTGCATTGAGAAAGATTATCTTGCCCTTTTTAGCTTTTTGAATTGCTTTTGTCTTCCACAGTTAACTCGTTGTGGAGATCCTGTGTGTGATGTGGACTCTCCAAACAAAAAATGTTATGAGCAGCTGATCATAGGAAGGCTGACAAAGACCTCAGACAGTGTTGAAAAAGTGTCCGACTCTGATGGCAATGTGGACAGATCCCTCCTTGCTCCGTCTGTCCCTCCATATGACTTCGTTCTGGTGACCACACCATGTGTACTGCATTCCAAGAAGCCTCCACTCTCTGGTATGGACAATGTTGCTTTTTTTTTGGGGGGGGGGGGTATTTTTGTTGTTGTTGGTGACGTGTTATGATAATTGTGAATGATGGTAAATATTCATTCCTCTAACGACACAATCTAGACTATTTTGGAGATGCGCTGTTTTGACTTCGCCCATCAGGGCCAACATGGGTTGAGTGGAGCACAGTCTCTCAGCAGATCAGACGAGCTTACCTGATAGAATGACTTTCTCATTTGGGAATTAAACACAGGTCTACTTGCCTAACCTTCACATCATGGACACATGTCAACATTGACATGCTTAGGAACATGTGCCAATCATAGGGTGTATCTCAAGGATTGCTGTCTTCGATGCGTAAAGTAAAGACAATCTGTCCTTTAAAACAAAGGGCTGTTTTATACTAGGATTAGTACTTCGATCGTATTGGTCCTCGTGAGCAATTGTAGTTTTTACTTGCACTTTTCATGTGATGGAAAGTATCTGTGCTTAACTTTTACCATTGTTCCAGAATGTTGAGGTTTCATTAACTAGAGCTGTAATTTTTTAGTTTGATATGGATACAATCAGAGAACTGTACTGTGGTCTTCAGTCAAATTCATAGGTTACTATGACTACATTTGTTTCTGCTATTTTCTTTTGTGCTGTACTATAAGCCAGGCAGAGCCGTGACACATATCTTGACATCAATGCTTTTTTGGGAAAATAAGGTACTGCATTTGACTGTCCCCATGGTTTTATGCACCCCGCATAATTTAGCAAAATTTGATCATTTTTTGCATAATTTCTGATTATTTTCCTTTATCATTCTTTGTTAAAATTAACAGAATCGCATAATTTCACATTTTTGGGCTCAGTTTGCATAATTTCATAATTGTTTTTGCATAAAACCACGGGGACAGATTTGAAAACAATTTCCCCCCCCCCTTCAGAGATACTCTCGGAGTATGTTGCTGGCGACCCACGCTGCCTGGAACTCTTTGCCAGAAACTTGCTTCCAGGATGGACCAGCTGGGGGAACGAGGTAGGGTATGGCTATTCACCAGCCAGCTGTTCAGATCATGTACTCAGCCCAAAATCTTAAAAGAAATTTTTATTGCAGTTTCTTTAGATTTGATTATGTATCAGTTGCATGTGCTCAAGAAAAATATTGCTGAATTTCAAATTCTAACTAGATCTAGTGTTAATAATTTGTAAAAAGCAAGGAAAAGAATGAAACAATTTTTTCTCTTTCATGGAAAATTTTCTCTCTCGGTTTAGTATATATTTGAAAAGCTTGCTGACATGTTGTTTCTCTCAGAGAGACTTGTGAGTCTTTTTCCTTCTGGATCTGTGGAGACTGAGAGGGACACAAAGTAGCTCTATCCTGGTTTCAGAACTTGAAGAATTTATGCATTTAATTATGGGATTGCATTCAGAGCTGCGGAGAAATGTATTTTGTAGTTGAAAGTTGAGAGTTGTTCATGCGGTTTTCCCCCCGTTATTTCCCCTGTGGTTTGTTACTGTGTTAAATGACATGAAATACAAACTGAAATGTCTTCATCTGAGGGCCGTTCTTAAACAGTCAATAGCTTGAAGCAGATATAATTTAGACATCTTGTCCTGGATCCTGCTTTTGAACAGAAAAATTATGACACTGACCAACTCACTAATGTTACTAAATGCAAAGATCGTACATAACAAGATGGGCCACTCAGCCAAAAAAGTGTCCGCCAGAAGTCCGGTCCTTGTTTCAGATGGCGCTGCAGTCTGTTTTGAAGCTCTCTTTCGTTTTTCCAGAAAAAGAAATGAAAAAAGTTCAGCAGTTCGGGTTTGTTCAGTGCGGAGTTTTAGTTTTTAAAAATTTTAATGATCTCGCCTTTCATTCTAAAGTCAAATTAAACGAAGAAAACAATCACCCTTTCCTCCGGAAGAGTTTTTTTGTCAGCGTAACCATTTTTAAAAAGCGTTCTTCCGAAATTTATCCAAAAACTTGCTAGTTTCACTTTGACTTTTTAAACTCAAGTAGGGTAACTCTGTTCGCGAAGGGTGCACATTTGCGAAGAGGGCGCCACCGAATTTTGAGGACACTTTTTTAATTGGCTCAAAGAGAGGAGTGGCCTCTCTTGTTATGTAGACTCTTTGCTAAAAGAGAAGCTCTGTACTGCAATGAATTGCTGCCCTAGGTTGATATGGTTTGGTCAATAAGAATGAGGAAGTAGTAGTACAGATTTCACCATCACTCATTGGATGCCTATTAATTTTCTTCCCAGCTCTTGAAAAGAACTTAACAACTTGCTTCATGCAATGATTTGTGTCTGGTACCACTTCTGTTTCGAATTTCATTTTTTGATATATTGTGTTGCTTCTGTTTTGTACTTTCAGCCTTTGAGACATCAGCATATAGACTATTTTGAAAGATTGTCCAATGAGCAAGCTTCACATGAGGGAAAAGAGGGGAAGCTTTTGTGATCAATACCTTATTGAATTCAGAACATAAGTCTTGTACCGAGCCCTGAAGATCAACCCAAGGTTTCCCTACACAGATCTTAGCTCCGATGGTTGAAACATGAATGATTCAGGACAGAAGGTCTACTGACAACAGAGTTTTGAAGTTCAGCAATTTTCTGAACTCTGAATTCTGTACTACGCCAAGCATAGCCCAGATTTCTAGGCAGTCTTTCTTTTGCATTTCTACTGGCGTCTATGGTGTAGTGTTTAGGTGCTTTGCTGTTACACGCAGGAGACTTGAGTTCGATTCAGGAGAGGGAGGACAATTTTTATAGAGTATCTCAGTCTTCCTGCTGGGATGCTGTACCCCTCTCGGCGTGGGTCGCCCACCTCCTAAATGATCAAGATTATGTCGATGGGGGCTTTAAAAACTTCTATTATATTTAAAATTAAAAATTTTTTAAAATACATTTTTGAATGCGGGCAGCTGTCCTTCTTAGCAACAGCGTCTAGATCAACTAGATGCATCTTTTTTCATTTTTCATTGAGGAAATAAGTCCCACCTTGTACTTGTAGTATTTAAAAAAAAAATTTTTTTTTAACAAAAGGAAGATAATGAATAGAAACATGTTGTGATACAGGGTTTATACCATTGTCAATTTTTAATAAGTGTGAGTAAACCTTTGTGTCAGATTTCTAGTTATTTACTTGTTCAAATGAAAGGTTCTATATATTGCAAAAAGCTATAATACTGTTCCAAGATATGTACATGTACTTAAGAAGAAAGGAAATAATGTGTGTTCTATTGTGCATATTCTGTTTATATCATTGCTTGTCTTTAATTGTCTCTTTCTGTGACTGAACCATGTTGGGTGAAACATTTTGAAAAGCCGCTGGTCTCAAGTATTTTGAAACAAGTAGACAATTGTCCTTAATAATGTTTGCTTGATGTTGTTGTTGTTATCGATCCAGTGTTTGCTTGATGTTGTTGTTGTTATCGATCCAGTGTTTGCTTGATGTTGTTGTTGTTATCGATCCAGTGTTTGCTTGATGTTGTTGTTGTTATCGATCCAGTGTTTGCTTGATGAATACAATAAATGAATTTCAACTAACATTTTCTCGTGACTTGATGAACTGAAGAGTTCTATGCAATAACTAGATCTAGTCATTGTTTGTGGAAAACTTTTGAGCAAGGGCTTCTCTTGGTTTTGTATGCTTGAAGCATTCTTGCTTCTGAAATACCCGATAGGTGCAATATCTGGTGGCAGCCTCGTTTGGTGATTGTTTGATAAAGCGTTTTACTGCACGACTTCTTATTGCATATTATGGTCATCATATGAGCGTGCAGGACTGGTGTTTATATGATAAAGTGTTTTACTGCACTCCTTACTGCATATTATGGCCTTACTGCATATTATGGTCATCATATGAGCGTGCAGGACTGGTGTTTATATGATAAAGCGTTTTACTGCACTCCTTACTGCATATTATGGTCATCATATGAGCATGCAGGACTCAAGGTGGTTATTTTCACCTCGGTTTTCAGCAGGGGGTGGTTTTCGAGTGCAAAGTACGACTGACTGTCATGACCAACCTGGGATGAGAGGGAGAGAAATGATTTCCCGCAGAAAGACTGAGAGCTCAGTTAGTTTTAGTAAGAGTTTTACGGCACTTGCAACACAATAAGGTCATATAAGCGCCGAAGATTAGAGGTGTTACAAGAGAGTAACAAACATAAAAAAGAAGGAGGGAAGATAGAGACGATAGATTTTTTATAGGAAAGAAGGAGCAAACCACACCAGAGCTCAGGCCAACCACCCACTGAGAGCTCAGTTCTCGATAAAAACTCTCACTATATGGGAACTGCTCTCACGTCTTCTTCTGTGTGCAACAGTAAACTGCCAAACTGGTACACCACAGACACTAGTAGACACTCCGAGTCTTTGAGATTTCTCAGAATGAGGAGCACTTAAGCTGGCTAAGGATTATTTCAAATTTGTGTGTGCCTGGAGTAAGGTCCCAGTTTTTTTTTTCCAAAGCTATTTTTGAGCAATGGGGTGAATTTGTGTTACAAAATGTGGCATATCTTTAAAATTACTCATAATATTTGAACAATTTTAACTCATTCGCTACGCCGAGCCGTGGGGGGCGGCGCGGCTAAAGTGCCGTCAGTACGCTAAGCCGCCCCCGGCGGCTCGAGAACCGATCTTCAATTTTAGCTTAGATTCTAGTCCAATCCACATATCCATGTTAAAATAAAGGTCATAATATAATGTTGACTTCCGGGTCAAGCATTTCCACTAAAAATCGGAAATTTAGATTCAGTTTTGAAACATGATTTCGTAGTTTATTCGACTTTGTTTTACCGCGATGCCAAAATTATAGCCCGGACACCAGTCTTAGTACTTTTACAAAACAAAATCTATCATTATTTTGCCCCCTAAAGAAATGTAGGACTCTTTTTTATAATATTGATACGATTGGACTCATATTGCCAATGCACTGTTATTGAGAAATCAATATTTTTGAGTGTTCGATCTAGGTCTGTTGTCTAGATCTAAATTGTCAAAATATTTTTTTCTCCCCAACATCACTACTTTTTGATGAAATTACACAAAAAGTGCCACTCAAGACATGTATAGGTTTATTCCAAATGCAATTCTGAATAATTCCATACAAGATACGAGTGGGTTTTTTTCTGTTTGTGATGGTTTTTCAAGATTATAAATTTTTTTTTTTTTAAATATCGGATGTTATGTTCAAAATGTACAAATATTATGGAATGTAGGTAAATAACTGCAAACTTTTCAATATTTTCCAGTTTTATATTCATTTATGGTTATTTTGATGTATCATTTGACTGGGTGCAAACATATTTTCCCAAAGATTTTTTTGTTGTTGTTGAAATTTTATCCGCATCCAATCAAAATTGTGTTGCATAATCGTCTCTTACAGGAACCAAAGTTGAAAAATACATAAATAAACATTACAGATGTATTCTACAAACCATACTGAAAATATTGGTATATAATATGTTGATATTTATTTGAATTTGTGGCCCCAAAGACCTTTTACCTGCCCACTAGTCATCATCTCATTCGCCCTTCCGAAAAAAAATTCGTCCACAAGCCGAAAGTAATACGTAGCGAATGAGTCAAAATCAGCGTGTTCAGCATTGAATTTGCTACATGAATATATGCCCTTATTTCAATTACATTAAAATTTCCGACAACTGGGACTTTTTCCCAGGCACACACACATTTTGTCTCTGCAGCTGACTCTGGCTGGCCTGATTCTTTTCTTCTACTCTACTTCTCCTGTAGACCACCTTGCTCACATGGGCCTGTACTTTTGTGGACCACTTTGCTTACATGGGCCATAGCGTTAGCTCAGTTGGTATCATACTGTTGTTGTGTGGATAGTTAGTAGTACAGGGTTTTACGGCGCTCGCAACTGCATAAGGTCATATGAGCACGCGAAACACAAGTTGGTTACATTCGCAATAGTTCACTGCACGGTTGGTCGATAATTAGACTTTAAAATGCTAAAATACTAAAATTCAGTGTGAATATATTTGCGATTTAAAACAACTCTTATAAATAACAATAACATTTTTTAAACAATATTGTTTCACTTAAAAATTTGCCATAAAGGCCAATGGCCTTCATAAAATTCAAAATTCTGCTGGGACCAACAACGGAAAAAACGTCTTGCAATTTCTTGCATTTAAAATATTTCCTTCGGATCTCTCCAAAGTCTAGACATTCGGTTAAGATGTGTCTAATGGTAAAATCTGTGTCGCATCCGACACAGAATGGCTTCTCATCTCCCTGTAGGAGGTATTTGTGGGTCAGGGCCGTGTGTCCGATGCGCAATCGAGTAAAAATGACTTCGTCTCTTCTGGAGAGGTCCGAAGGATTTCGCTGTTCTTGGATGTTGTGTGGATGACCCTTGTTCGAATTCCCAATGGGGCAGTCTAGATTTAGGATTTTTGGGGAAGTTTTATAAGCTCTCCACCCATTTGACTTAGTTCTGTTGGAGATGTATGTTACATTCAAAGCTTGAGCTTTGACACTTAACTTTATACTGTTGAAAGACGGCGTTAATCCAAAACAATTGTGTAAATACTAACTACCTTCTTGTCACTGGTGAGCACCATATGCTTGCTAAAAACAAAATACAGTCAAAATTGTCTAGGACAGCGCCAGCCATTGTCAAGGAGAAAAGTGGTTGTCTTAGGCAGGTACACATCTTGGACAGTTTTTTTATAAATAATAGAAAAATCGCAAGGGGAGAAAGTGCTACATGGTCGTTTGTACAGTTGTCTTGGACAGGTGGCTGTTACAGCAGGTTTGACTGCTCTAGGCCCAAACATCGAGGATTAGGACCATGATTCACTTGAGAAAAGGCCCGACTAGTCTACTCTCCGTGCTTGCACTAAACAAGGAATAGAACCACATAGATTGGTATGTGAGGCAAGCTCTCCCGTAGAATACCCAGCCCTAGTTCTGCCTTGCAGAAATGCCATTTATCGCAAAGGACGGAATTCATTCACTTGACTTATCTCTATAAGTTGAAACAAACAACAGCCACGTTCATGGGCTTGTCAGTGAGGGGGAAGGAGCATTTTCCTTTGATGCGATTGAAGAAGCAAATGTTAAATATAATTTAGTTGGAGTTACGTCACAACACATATTTCCCTAAAAATCAAAATTCATCTAAATGTTCTCAATTTATATTCCTCCCCATAGAGAATTCTAAGCGTGCATAGAGACTCTATATAACATTGAAACCACCCTTCTGCTTTCATGCAAAGTATTAGTAGTTCAATATTTCCAATTAAGGTACCCAAGAAACAAATTTGTCCTTTATTTGAAAGTAGAAAATTGTTATCTCACTCCATCTCTGTCCCGACTGTTCGAATTTAATTACAGAAAACCCCCCCCAACTCTTTTACAGAATTTCGAAATGATGTTTTAAAAAAAAAAAGTAAAAAGGGCCAGGTTTGAGAATTATTGTTTTTCAGGAAGTTTGACAAAATGTGAACATTCTTCTACAGTCAGGACAGCTGTGCTAGTAATGCTGGAATACTGGTTATTCATTTTACTTTTAGGTCTGCAATAGGGCTTGCTTTGGTCAGTCTTCAAAATATTTTTAAAATTAAAGTAAAGGGACTAATCAAGATAATTATCATTAAAGTATGAATATTCTTTAAAAAGCTCACACCGATACTCGCACACTGACAGACTGATCCTGGATCTGGATTGTGTCGCTTGCTCGTCGTTGTCAAGGCTACTGCCCCACCAGTTTATGGCTCGGATTTTCATCAAAGCAAACTGAAAGTAGGATACAGCGCAACAGTGGTTCTTTACTTCGGTGCAAATTTCATATGTGCATTCCTGAAACACTTCGAGTGGGGTGAACGGAATGGACACATACAGAGCTTGTGTCTTGACCTCCGCTGAATCCCCGATACTCACACACCAAACCTCTTGAGTTCGATCAAACCCAGGTTAAGAACCACCGCAGTAGAGTGACGGAACAGCAGAAAGGTGGGGCATTAGTGGACATTGACTCCATTGCAGAAATTGATCATATTCACATTGGTTACAGAAAAGTTGCACAACAAAGACAGTGAAATATAAGACGAGTTGTTATGGTAAGTTACAAGTTACACTTGTTATGGGTGGGATCCCTTTGACAAACACTTGATTGTAAAAAAAAATAAGACCAAAGTGGCCAGAATTCTCGACCTTTGGTAGAGAATGGAAAGGCTGAAAATTCCCTGTCTGAAATGTGTGGGTCTGGGTCATTGCACAAAATTTCTGAGATATCTGTCTTATATTTCATTGTCTTTGAGTGTAGAGAGAAGCTACAACACAGGGAAAAGGGGAGGGAGGGGGGGGGGAAAGGAATGGGATTGCCATGCCTTTGGTTCCTGACTTCACAGAAATGGAAAGGCAAAGAATAAAGTCGAAGTGAAGAGGTTTCTGTACCAGGAAGTAAAACCCTCAAACAGATGAAGAGAAAAAAGTGTGCATGAGAGGCAGGAAAAACGCAATAGGAAATAAGAAAGTACCCCAGAAGCACAGAAGCTAGGAAGATGCTACACAATGAAAGGAGAAACATTCCCCCATACACTCTACCATTGTGGCTAGCACAGACGACACAAGACAACATAAAATGCAGGAAGTATTAGACATAATGTTGAAAAGGGGGTTTATTTGTCCCTATCCAGCAATTAATGCTCCAAGCAATGAAAGAGATACAAAGCTGAAATGTGAATAGATAGTTTGAAGAGATTAGTTAATACACATAATCAGAGTATAATAAGGTGAAAGGAAATTGTAAACAAATGATGCAAAAAGATTTTCAAAAGTAGCAGTCGAATCTGCAAAAAGCTTGACTTCCTTGTGGCTTTGGTCAAATTTAACCTGACCACTCTTGGAAACTAGGGATACTCTTTCTGAACAGAATAAGAACTTGACGATCACATTTAAGCACTCTTTGATGTGGAAAAATGATAAAATGTCTGTAAACATTTACATCATAACTCGGCTGAAACCAGTTCTAAAGTTTTAAAATTGATTTGAAATTTAAAATGCTCAAAATGAGCACAGTAAGTTGGGGTAAAATGATAATCAGTTTTTTGCTCTTTGCAAGATTCGAATGCCACATTTTTAACATAAATCAAAGGAATAGAAGAAACTGTGGGTTTTTTTTTAGGATAAAGCTTCAAGCTGTAGAACAAAGAATACATCTGGCAATCAGTTTCAAGACATTATTTCCTACACGTTGTAACTCATCAGTACAAACAAAACTATGTGCTGTGATCTTGACTGAGAGAAATTTTGTCTCCAAATGTATGATGGAGTATGCACATTTGCAGCAGTGCAGAAAAGGGCTCCCTTGAACCAAATAGCCGACCTTAAGCATTGCAAAACTAAAATACAGAAAATACAGCTTGGAGAGAATTGGAAAAACATATGTGCAACATCAGGTCGGTTAATGCATTGCAACAGTAGTGAAGAGGAAAATACATCTACAGTGCAAAAGACACAGAGTTAGTCTGAGAGGAACAGTGGGATGGGCTTTAGGGAGTGCCTACAACTCAGAAAAAGTCAACAGATTCACAAAAAAATTCTCTATGAGTACAATTTATCTGATGCAAAAATATCGCAAACATTTCACTCGTCCAGTACAAAGCAAAAGAAAAGAAAAAAAACCAAAAAACAAAACAAAACAAATATTATGTGTAAAAACCCACTGTCATAGCTTTATGTCAATGAAAACAAATTTTTAATGAACTTAATATTGCAACCGTTGCAAAATAATGAAAAATGCAATTCCTTTTTATTAATGTTTTTACTAGATTTCCTTTTTGTATATTGTTTTAAATCAATTAACATAGCAAACACACTCAAACATGTATATATATATAGATAGGTAGATAGATAGATAGATATTATACATGTAACAATATAAAAATCTGAGATGTTTTTTTTTTAAACATAAAACAATTGTTCAACTTGTTGCCTCTCTGGTACATTTCCACTATCAAACATCCACAGACATTTCACACATATCACTCTGAGCTCGCATATCGGACACAATCAAAATCTGAAGGGTCGTCACTGTTGAGATGAACAAGAACACTTGGTTACATCAGTACCTCACTCACAGGAGTATTAACACCTTCAACAAAAAATGTCTATTCACTTCCTGGTGTGTGAAATACCGTGACAGTGGTTCAAAAGCAAAAATGTATGTGTGGGAATACTAATAAAATTGTAACTTGAAAAAAAAAATGGTAGTAAATATCACGTTCATTCATATGTGTGCATTGATAAAAAGGAATACAGTTATGACATACACTAATTAAAATTTGTGATCAGTCAATTCAGGATATATCTATCCCCTAAATCATTGCAAAACAATATTGTTTCAACAAACACAAATTGTGCTATGGTTTTTCAATCCACTTGGTTCCTATATATGTAATTTAAATAATTGCATATTATTGTTTAGGTACTGTGTATGTAATGGTTATATTTTTCTTTAAAGTTCAAACCATATCAACTATGTGGAGCCCGACCAACGGTATGCAGTCATTCTTTTCAGCTATATTCTATTCCTTTGTATGACATCAAAAGCACAGTAAGTCATGAAGGCGTGTTGATACAATCAGACATGTAAACAGGATAACACACATGTCTTTATTGTGAGTAATTTCTTTTGACTAAATCCACGTTCACTGAAATCTGCCACATATTACAACAAAAGTGAAAAGATTACAAATTACATCACAATACTAACTCAAAAACCACACTTTGACATTAGTACTACAGCTTCTTTAGCTAATATCATGACTGGTTTAGAAATATTTCTCATGTCCGAGAAGGAATTCATTTTTGTTTAAATATTCAGTATTGTCTTTGTGGTGAGGTAAATCATTATCAAGCGTCAAATGACATACAAAAAATGTCCTGTGGTTTTAATTTCCTGTTATGAATGAGATCACTTTATTAAGAACAAACCATCAAGCGCCATTCATAACAATTTTTAAATACCTACACATCACACACAAGTCAAACCCATGTCAAAATATATAAGTTCCTGTCAAAAGCATATACGTCAAATAGAACAAGTGAATGCCTCAAGACTTGCATGATAAGCTGCTTTTGATTTGAAACTGAAAATTTTGCTGCTCATAAAATATCCACGTTAAGTTATAAAGTCACTCAAAACATCTGTGAGTCACACATCAACATGAAATAATCCATCACTCATGCAAATCCAAAAAGCAACATAACATGCATTGCAAACTTGTATTAAGAATTCAAAAGCATATTATATTATGTTTATCCTTACCAACGGGCAATTCAAAACTGCGAAAAACCTCGACTCCACATATTGATTTTGCTATGGAAAGCATTTACCGACTAAAACTGCACTTGATATATGCTCTGATAGACGTACAGGCAATGAAAATGATGAGAAGTTTCTTCTTTGTAATTGTACTCAAGTGTCTTTTTTTACTTCGGAAAGGAAATTGAAAGTTTCCATTGCACATAGTATGTATAAAGGCACCTGATAATAAAAGTTCCTTTTATGTGGGATCAGACGGAGGAAACTGGCACTACAAAATGAAATCTCATATAAATTTGTTTAATATTTATGGCATTTAATGAACCCTGTCTGCCTTCATTATGAATAAATATAGATAGTAATGTGTGTATACACATAGTTTCTATACAGACATATACCTATGTTTATCATGCTTTCCTTTAAGGAGATAGGTTCATATCATTAGCATTAAACATCTTCAGTTGAAGAATATACAGGGGCAGACGGCAGACCACCTTTTCCCTCTCAAAGTAAAAAAAAAAAAGTTCAAATAGCATGAAAAAGTCAGTGCTCTAAGTACACAGACATTTCCTGCACAGCGTAACCAGCCAGGGCATGTCCCATGTCTCTTCCAGTTTGAATGAAATTTCTGCAGTTCCATGAAACTTCCTTCAACAATATTCTCTGATTTGATGAGGTGCCTCTTATGTTTTTTTATGAATCACAAAAAAACATTGCCATCTGCATACTGAATCACTAGCTACAGTTGTGGTTTTATCTTAAATCATTACTGAGGATTGCAATTCCTCCTAATTGACTAATTAGCATGACAATTGAATCGTTAAAATGGTGCGTCTACAGATATAAGAATAATAGTTCTGAAAAAAAGGTACATCTTATACAGAACACAATCTTAACACTAAATCTCTAAACATAGGGCAGAAAAGCCAATGAGAAGAAAGGTAAAAATGTCTATATCCACATTCTTCCTAAAGAAAAGAAATAAAAGAGTTACATGCAATAAAGAATAAATGAACGGTATGTACAAACGGAAAAACAGTCTCTAGGTCCTAAAAATAAAATCTTGAACAGGCGTGCGGTCATTTCTTGTGGCACGAGGAACACTGCAGAGAAACATTATTTCTAAACCAGTACTTTGTAAACACTACATGAATGGTCACTGAATCATAGACTTGAGAGGGCACTTTAGGCAGGTGAAGAAAGATGGGGAAATAGCTTTGCACATCAAAGATTAAGTCTAGATGATACTTGGATTTCATATACAACCAAATTCACGATCTCATATTAACAAACAACATACTTTTCAAAATGAAAGAAAATCTTAGCAACTTAGAATTATGCAGATCATCAACACCTATTTGCTTATATTCTTTTCAACAAAGCTCATGTTTCAAAAATGCATGTATAAACAATGACTTATCACATTATATATTATTATCCCCACTGAATGACATGGAGAACAACATCTGTTCAAATTTTATCCAATAACTAAAAAAAAAGATAAAAAATTATGCATCACAATAAAACATGCCCTGTTCAAGGCATAAACATTGAAATGACAGGCTTACGAGTTCTCAGCGAAATGATCCTACTGTTCTCCACTGAACAACAAATGCAAATATTGGCAACAGTTTATCCTCTGTGCATATCGTCAACAACTCACAAAACCCGTACTAATTTGACAAAAAAAATAAAGTGAAATAAATAAAAATTGTGACACTGACCTCTAGATTTCAGTTTTGACTATCAAGACATACTCAACTCTGATGTATTTGTGGCAATACTTGGTTGTATGTCGACAAAAAACTCATCAAACATTGCAGTGCTCTGACATTGAGGTTTTGCTTCCATAAAAGATTTGCATAATATTCCACATATAACATATATACAAACAATGTCTAACAAAGTTTGCAAAATCTTGAGGTCTTATAAGGACACAAACAATTATTGTTTCAAACAAACAAAAACAACCCAGATATCCCTCACCCCCCCCCTCCCCTTTGGATCAATTGGATCAGGCATTGCCTAAGAATTAATTTAGGACTGAACTCTTATAAAATGTACCTGTCTGAAAAAATTCTTGCTCAAAGATAAAAACAAGGGCTAAAACAGCACTTGTCAAAGTACTGATGCAAAATTCATATAATGTTGTGATAAACATAAATCTGTATTACAGTTTTAAAAACCTCATCAAGACAATCGATCCTCTCTCTGAAATCAGTTTGCAACACATTGTGATTATACGATCTCTTAGAGAAAATAATTTATAGGTAATGTGTTAGTAATCTTAAACATTAAAAACAGTTCAAATAACAACCCTTCAAGATGCAAGGAATAAACTTTTTTTACTTGTCATGTCTCAATGTATGAACAGAACTCTTGTGTCTTAATGATCAAACTAAAAAAGCCATAGGAAAATTACCCAATCCAAAAACTCAGAGTTATTTTGTTGGCTCTCTAACCTAAATACATCTGATGTAACACTTGTCTTTCTCAGTAAAAGTAAAGTTGTCCAAACTCCTACTGTATCTCCTAGTGATTTCCTTCTCAGCAGCTACTTCAGATACATTAAGGCACGCCAATCTGCCACCAGAGAAAATGTCCATTCTGCAACAGACAATTCAGCCTCACATATTCTTCACTGAGAATATTGACACTTTGTGCACTGTCGAACATTTTCTTTTTTTTTTCCAGCCTTTAAAAAAAAATCTATAGAGGGAAACTGAACATGTGAAAATGGAAACCGTTATCTTCCTATGATTTCACTAAGCTATGTATTTTTTTTCTTTTTCATCTTGACTCATGGAACCAAAGGGCAGTATTTAGAAATGATATCTTGGAATTTTGTTGTAACAGTATGGCAGTTTTAAAAATGTTTTGATAAGTTCAAAACTATGGCCAATTCGGAGTCAAGTCATTGGCAATACTTCTGTGGGGACAGGTTCATTCATGAGGCAAGCTCTTTCATCTTTCATCATTGTGATGGGTACACAGAGAAAAAATCTGAAGGCCTTTAATTCTTTTATATTAGAAGATGAGTCAAGCTCATCAAAGACATAGCCTTTTTCATCAGCCCATGTATAATGCAAACAAGAGACACACATTTCAATTCATTTTCACACAATCCTGGTAGCAACTGCTTATGAACTACATAACTAACAGCAATGCATTGTGTGCATGGAATAAGCATTTAATTTACAAAATATTCAAATATCAAAGTCGAGAAATGGCTTCTTTAACATCTCCCTGATGCAAAGCGTATTGTGAACGTTACATTCATGTTTTTATAAGTCTGCCTTTAAAAAAGAAGATCAAAATGAAACGTGGTAAAACCAAACTTATAAGTAAAGGCACTGCCATTGTACTTGTTAAAAAATATCCATTGAGAAAGGCACTTTGGGCAAAGACTTGAACACACACCCTTGATCATTGCTAGCCCATCTATGGTACCCTGTGGGTAGTTCTCTATGGTAGCACTAGTCAGGCATTAAAAGAGTACCTTGGTGTTCTGTAGCTTTCCCCCCTTTACGAATGGATCAGATCAGTTCCAGTACTATGCAATTATTGCAGATGCTGAAAACAATCAGTATTCTAAAAAGATATATTTATATGTATATATACAACATTAATACCATTTGAAATATGCCTTGGCATTTCGGTGAGAAAAAGACAAGACACCTGTGGTGAAACTCATGAGACGGACAATCTCCTAACTGTCTGATTCTATTTGAACAATTTTGCAAGGTCAATTTCTGCACTCTTAACAAATCACATATTTCAAAGAAAAAGCACAATGTGTAGGGCCTACCATGTTTTTCAATCAATCAAAAAACAAACAAAAAATGGGGGGAAAAAAAAGGATTTGGAATAACAAACAAATTAAATGCACTCATGTTCACTGAATTTACTGTTGGCAATATTGTTCTTTAGAAAATGTATTTTACATCCATCCATTGAAAAGTGTCCAAGATAAATTTTAACCCTTGCAGGAATGTTACAGTCTTTCAGACACAGCTGCAATATCTATTTCTTTTGCTATATATGATAAAAACCAGACAAATTCATGAAAAATATGATTTTGTTAAGTACTGCAAACATTAATGTGCCTGTAATCGCCTAATGACCTGCTGCTTATTTCAGAAAGAAACAAATGGTATTCATAACTTGCTGATGCTTCCTCTTCCAGATGAACAGCATTTGGATGCCCCAGCCCTCCTATCCTCTCCTTTTTGGCTTTGTGAAGCTTAATAGGTCTTTGTGATTGTTTGCTAGGGAAACATCACAAACAGCTCTCAATAAATGCATCCACTTCTTTTCGAAAGAAGAAATGAAAGCAATTTATGAAACCAATTTCATAAAACAAAATTTGTGGTCCAAACAAAACTGTTGCACAGCTGTATTGCACATCAGAAGAATGCATTAATCAATTTTTAAATTGAAACATCTGACATGAAGTCGACACAAAATTAGAGAAACAAAGGTTGTTGTTATTTAGACACATTATATAAACAAATTTAGATAAAAAGACACTTATCTCTTTTAAATTAGACTTTCAGTTTTATAAAATTCTATAAACAATAAATTCAACCAAGTAAAGGCTATTTGAAAAGTCAAATTATATGCCAGTTTCAATACTTAATCCAATGTACTCTGTGTCCACATTCACTACCCACAAAATGGAAAGACAATGTTGATCTCTCACAGGAAAACTTGTTCTTGACAAGAACTTCCGTAATCTATATGTGATCTTTGAGATTTACGTTACTATTGACAAGTGATGTCTTCTATCTTGAAACAAAATTTGACTGTCATGAGGTAGATGATAGCCTGTGGCATACTTTCTTCTCATTTTTACTGCAAAAATGTTTCTCCTGCAAGGGCTTTGGAAAATCAAATACAAATAATTCATTAGTAAAAGTAGTTTAGATGATTCCGACCTTTCTCCTCTTAAGTTCACATCTAGTATTTTGTAATTTAAATGTTTTTTTTACTCAGTTTAAAAAAAAAGATATGTTTACAATGATGGATTCTCCAAAATAAACACATCCAAAACAATAAGTATACGAAGACATCAAGTGCACATTAGCAATGACTACCAGTTAGGAAACAAATCTAGAGGGGGAGTTTCCAATACTTACATAGTGTTGCGGGACACAACTCAGAACATTTCACACAATTCATGACTGCGTCAACTGCTGAGAGTTGGACATGGAGAACTTGCCATCAGATCTTTGACAACATGCAATCTTACAACTTCACTACATGGACGCCCTTCTCTTCATCTTGTCTCAAAACCCTTGAAATTTAACTTTATAAAAACATAACATAAACTACTGAGGTATATGCATGTTTGATTAAATGCATTTTACTAAATGTTTGAGATTTCATTCGTATGACAAGTTTTTGGGGTGATTTTTTTGCCGCAGCTCCCAGCAGATGATGTAGTTGAGATCTTCAGAACCAATGACATTTTTTTCCTCGACTTTAAAGGGCTGTTTTTTCCCCTCGATGTCCAAAAAATAAAAGTAGCATATTTGTACATGTAAAATTTCCTTTCCCCTCATGCGGTCTACAAAGGACATAGAATAATAACAAAAAAAATACAGACAGGTGAAAAAGTCGTTTCCAGCATGGCTGTTCAAACCGCTTTTCCACACGCATCACTTTTTGTTTTATACGTAGAAATGAATTATAATGCTGTCTCAGTCTGTATGGATCCTTTTGTTTCAGAGGATTGAACATGTTGTGCATTCTGAGCCAACGGTTTATCTATGTCAAATCATGAACTAGATGGTTGACTTGGAGAAAGACACCCGTAGATGACAGCTTTCTCCCATCTGGTAGTTGTGCATTGCCTGTAAAACAAACAAAAAACAAAAATTGCTTGTCTTGCTTAAGTTTAACATCCTTGTCCAGAAAGAATGAAAAATCTTCAGGCCTTATAATGTAAATCCAACTATACTGCACTAAGTCCTGATCAAGATTAAGAGAGAAGTAGTACATGCTATGGCCATGTTTAGAGTCAGGGTTGACATGAAGAGATATGAAAGGTATCCTACCCGACATGGATTAAAAGCAAAATGAAAAAGGCAGACCTAAGCATTTATAAAACAAAATTCGAGAAATAAAAAAAAGATAGTATACAGAGGAAAGCAATGACTTAGAAAAAACAACAAAGATTATTCTAACAAGAAAAATTCAATTGAGCTTTAAATTTATGAATATCTTTTCTAGAGACATCAGGACTTCAAAAGAAACAAATTATAAAAGATGATTTTAATGTACACTTTTATTTCTAAAGTTTCACAGATTAAAACAATGCGGTGACCAATACAGCTCGTCTGCAGAGACCTTCCAGGTTTATTTTTAAAATCAAAATTTAATCAGAAAATAAACGGCAATTTACTTTAAACCGATGATACAAATTACTTCTAGCTTATGTTTTTTCTTTTAGTAAGAGCAACATGTCCCACATTTCTATGGAGGAACATAATAATAATTTTAATAATAATAATTGCATTTATATAGCGCATATCCACGCTCAAGAGCATGCTCTATGCGTTTTACAACTATTATTACCCCAGTAGACCCTCTGAGAACACTCAGAAATATTCTCGGCTTCCGCGGAAGCATACAGTGCAAGCTGCGGATTTCACGCGCTCAAACACTACCAAACTGACAAGATCGTTCACTGTCTATAGCCGGGTACCCATTTCCACCTGGGTGAAGTGAGGAAAATTTGTGCAAAGTGCCTTTCCCAAGGACACAACGTCGGGCCCCTGACGGGATTCGAACCCACGACTGTCATGATATTCGATACTTATACTCGAATATAGTGAAGATGTTCGATACGAGAATAAACACTTCCCTTCCCTATGAAGTCAATATGGCTGAATGTTTACTATCGTCTTGTGCTCGTCTGACTTTGATCAAATATTAAGAATACATAACATCATAACAACGACCTTACGGTTGCGAGTCTGAGAGCCTAACCACGAGGCCACCGATGACACACACATCAACCTTGGCAATAGTTTGAGAAAAAAACAACGAGTTAATTTCTTTTTTTCTGTGACATTGTCAAAGTATTACACCTTCAATATTTTGGTGACACATTTGTCGACAGACTTACAATAAGTGCATGAATGGCTTCCTCCACTGTGCTCATTTGAAGCAGAGCCATCTTCCGGTCTTTCCTGAAAGAGATAAAAACAAATGGATTGTTCAAGTAGGCCTATGAAGACAACATATAAAGCATTTTCAAATCAGACCATGCTTTTCTTTGAAGTGACAAGTACTTTATGAACATAAAGATACTCATATCCATCAACTCATGGAACACTGCTAAATAAAAGACGTGAAAACTAACCAATAGATAGGAACGTTATTTATTACATTAGCGGACAAACAATGTGTGTCTGTGTGTGTGTCTGAGTGTGTGTGTGTGTGTGTGTGTGTGTGTGTGTGTGTGTGTGTGTGTGTGTGTGTGTGTGTGTGTGTGTGTGTGTGTGTGACAAATAGAAAGAGAGAGGGTGTGTGTGCGTGCATGTGTGTCTGTGCGTGTGTGTGCACGTATGATGTGAGTGCATGTCTTTGTGTGTGGTGGTGCTCGGAGAGTGAGGCAGAAGGAGAGAGAGAGAGAGAGAGAGGGAGAGGGAGAGAGAGAGAGAGAGAGAGAGAGAGAGAGAGAGAGAGAGAGAGAGAGAGACACGGAGGGGGGGGGGCACAATAAGTCGAATAAGAATCCAATACTGTTGAAGATATTTGCCCTCTGTCGAAGTTGCCAACAGCCCCTATCAGTACTGTCACAGGCTATGCCGAAGTTGCCCCATGCAGGGGTCAAATTTGCACCAACCCCTGTCGAAGTTGCCCCACGCGAGGGTGTGCCACAAAATCGTGATTGGTTGAAAATCCGAGATGCAAATAGAGTAAAGAACATAATAATCGAGAAGTAGTATGGCTTCACACATTGAGACCAAGATGGTCTGTGTTGACCAAGATGGTCTGTGTTGACCAAGATGGTCTGTGTTCTTTCATAAAGGCGGGAGCAGTATCGGTTACTTTTGCGGCACTACAGAAACCTCAAACCTGTCGAGGTTGCCCCAACCTGCCCTAGCTTCTCAATAGAAACAACAATATTCAATGGACACCGAAATGTATACAATAATACACAAAAGTAAATACTTACGGGAAAAATTTGAAGGCCTTAACAGCTCCATGGTCACTGAACCAAGTACTCAGGTTTTCTTCCGTGACGTGAGCTCTGCCAGAGAAATATCAGCAAAGGTGTGTTGGTGATGTGCATTATGTGTGCGTTCCATTGAATTTCCACATGTGTGATGTAAAAGCAGAGTTTGATAAATGAAATCATTGTAGATGAAATGAATTATACAATGAAACTGAAGGGGGTGTCAGTTGGCAAGATAAATCAGTTTAGTTGAATCTGCTCTCGCAGCCACTAGTCCAAGACAATCATCTTCATAAATAATCTCTTTCAAATTCTCCTCTTGCATTTATCAAACATTATATTGACACTGTCCAAGATCTTCACTTGTCTATGGCAACCACTGTCTTCCACGACTGAGTGGCTGTCTTGGACAATTTTGAGTATTACTAGATTAAATTTACAAACAGACTTACGGAATGTTGGATAGATGCAAAACTTGTGATGGGGGGAAAATATTCTGACAGTTCTTGGAACCAGGACGCTTGAATCTATGAAGAGGGGAGTTGACGTAGTCTTTGGTCAGGCCAGCATCCTGAAAGAACATTTGTGTTGTTCCAATGTTAGAGTAAATTAAAGATCTCACGTTTTAAGCACAGAGAGTAAATACAACCACCAATGATTATGACAAGGATGGCCATGATGGCAATGGTTTTAGTTTTTAAGTTATAGTTAGCATTTTACAGCACTTGAAACACAATAAGGTCATATAAGTGCTGAAGGTTAAAGATGTTATAAGAGAGTAACAACCACAAAAAAGAAGGAGGGGAGATAAGGATGATAGATGTTTGATAGGAAAGAAGGAGCAAATCACACCGGAGCACCGCCTCTTTGACGTTTATGGAGAAAAAGATAATGACAATACTCTTGACTGAAGCTCCCTAGAAAGATGTTCAACAAACACAGTAGATAGTGTAGAAAGAAGGTGTACTATTGAATTGATAACTCTTTGATAACTCTTATCTCCTCAGAACTCACCGACTGTCCTTCCTTTGGCATCTGCACCACCTGATGCTTGGACTGGGCCACTCTGATTTGCTTTCCCCACACTCTGGCTTTGTCCAAGTAAGTGATGGCTGAAACATTAAGTCCAGAGTACAGGTTATTGAGAATAAATACAGAACTTTATCACTCAGTTTCAACATATCAACCATTCTGTTCACACTAGGTAGTCATCGATTCAATATTTGCTCAGTTAGATTTTGCACTATTGTCAGAAAAAGCGCTGACTAAATATACTTTGAAATGAAGTTCAAAGTAATGATAGTGACTAAAAATAACTCCTTGTGAAATACATTTTCCTACAAAATAACATATGATTTGAATGATTATACAAGCAATTCTAAAAATAATCATGCACACAGAAGAACTGTGATCACAGTGACAAGTAATAGACAGAGCGACAAGAAAATCTGACACAAATATCTTCTTTACTGTATCATCACAGAATGGTTTTCACTACGTCAGAACTTCTGAGAGGGTGTATTAGATTGGTTGTAAAGGGAATTTAAAGTTCTTGCCTCTTCTACCAAAGTACCGGGTTTTGTCCCTTGTTCATACAGGCATGGTATGACATGTTCTGATGATAACTTAGAGTTGTTCTCAGTTATTCTCATTTCCCCGGTTCTAAGGCAAGAGGGGTCTCCTACCTAATCTACTCAGAAAAGAATAAAAAATGCAGATGTCCCATACGCATATGCGCACATGAAAAAACACCAGTGCAATCGAAAGTCATGGAAAAACAGGCTTGTCCAAGAAAATTCTAAATAAACCTTAACCCTATCTGTACGTCGAGTTTTACTATCATATCCATACGACATGAGGAACTCTGGGCCACCACTTTCAAAGAGGAAATTTACTCGTTAATCCGATCCGTATGCTTTGCATAGCAGTCTGTCAAAATGATTTTTTCAGAAATACTGAAAGTTTTCCAAGAGATCTTCGTACTAGAAGTATTCTGAAATGTGAAGAATACAACCCGGGGGTACAAAATGACTCCAGGGCATACGGATAGGGTTAAAATTTAAACACAAACATATTGACATTTATGGCTTACCGAGCTGTGCCTGATGAGGATCTGCCATCTGTATCAGGGCATTGTCCTTCTTGTTGAACAGCACCTTTACTCGGTGAACATCTCCATAGACACCTAATGGAACAAGTGGAGGAAAGAAATGAAAACTTCATGGGGTCACAGTTCTAGTGATGACGAAACAGATAGATGGGGAGAGGAATACACGACAACTTTTTGAAATATAAGAATTTAAAATAGTGGGCATAACTATGGTTACAAAACAAAAAGTTCAAACTTTTTCAAGGGAAGGAGCCATTTACTAAACAGCATTTTGTTTTCAGCGACTTTGTATATTCCTGCCCACTCTCTCCATGCAAGCTACAAAAGCAATGGAATACATTATGTTTCACCAAACACTACTTTTGCAATCAATTTTGCAAACAAGTTTGAGAAAACCTTGTGCAGAACTTACAGTGCTATGAGTCTGACTGTTATGTCAAAGTGCGCTCACCCAAATCTGTAGAATACCCTTATTAAGTTATGTTTCTTTGCTATGACAGCTCATTCATACTAGAGTAGTAGAGCACACACAGTTCAGATTTAATCAACTGACTCTACATTTTTTTTCTGTTTGTCAGCCATTTCTTACTTAAATATTTTGTTTCAGCTAAGACAGTATTGACATGTCTCGTTGAAAGTTTCAACATATTACGCATTCTTCTCAACATTTAACTTTCCACCTAATGTCCAATAATAGTACAATCTATTTTTTTTAAAAACCTCAAGATGCCTAAAACTACACAAGTCTGACATAAAATACTCCATATTACTGTTAGTATTCAAGTAAAATCTGTTGCGCTTCTTGTCTTGACATTGTTTCAGCACACTTGCTTCTTCATGTGATGAAATCCTTCTTCTACAAGACTTATGCCTAAAGAGTTTACTGAAAGCTTGACAGAGGGCAGTGGTGGTTGAGGATTCTATTTTTAAAATACTGAACAATGAATATTCTTATTATATTTAATCCTTCAATTATGTTGTATCTTTTTAATTGTTGCCAAAGCGTGTCCAGTACACATGAAAAGAACTACCTACCAACCAGTGGCAGAGAGTAAATAAAACATATTTATGTGGTGGCACCATCAGCATATTTGACTGATTTCACTATTATCAAGAATAATATAAAACAAGGGGAAAACATTCTAAATACATAAGAAGAATCAAATGAAACACCATTATATTGTATGTGATGAAAACTAAAAGCAAAGTAAAGAATTGACGTGAAGAACAGTGTCTCCCTTCTGGTTGACAAAGTATTCAGTAGTAACGTAAGAACAACATCTAGGAAAGGGGAAAGAGATATGTGTAGGTCTACACAGTGCAGAATTCTAGTTTTCACCAAAGAAGCAAGACGAGAGAAATGAAGTTTTACAAGGACCAAATAAAATATGACATTCAAAAGAAACAGATCATTCCAGCAAAGATGTTAATAATTTGGCATTTATGAAAACATGATAAATTTAAAAAAGAGCTGTGATATCTGGGCAATAACTCATGTTCCGTCATAACATCAACTTGTGTAAGATTTATGAGACAGGTACAGCAAATATGTACAAGATTGTCTCAGCAATGTGGTACTTTAATGTGCTTTATGAGACAGGTACAGCAAATATGTACAAGAGTGTCTCAGCAATGTGGTACTTTAATGTGCTTTATGAGACAGGTACAGCAAATATGTACAAGAGTGTCTCAGCAATGTGGTACTTTAATGTGCTGCCAGGAACTGGGTGTCTTTTGGCCTAGTTTTCTTGAGCAAAAATGCACATTGAATAGTTCATCACCCAAGTATTAACTTTTTACAAAAGAAAGAGCTAGAATTGCTGTTTTGTTACTTGACTATCAAAGGCGTGACCAGTGACCCAACAAGCAGATCTTTCGGAGTACTGCCCATAAAATTTATCAATGTTAATGCAAGGCTGAGTGACAAGAAAACAAAAGTAACTTAACTCAGATGCAGAGCATCGTAAAGTGCTCGGTTCTCAAATATACTAGCCACTTCCACTTTGTATTCCAATGTACGAGGGCAAAGCCAGGAATTCCTTGTACTTTGACAGGAGTTTACAGCAACTATAACCTACACCTATTTTTTCATTAGGCTTTTCAAATGCCCAAGTTTTGGATATGAAGAAAAAAGAGACTGAGAGAAAACAAAAAAAAAAATCCAAAAAAAATCTCACAAACAGGAAGAACCAAAGTAAACAACAATGAATGGGTAATGAGCAATACATGAGAAATAAACTATAACAATTTTTATAGAAAGTTGTGTTGAACATACCAAAAAGAGTAAAGAGAGCATCTGGCGTGACCATCTGGTTTAGCAGGAGTAGCGAACACAGGTATTATTGGGACAGGTGGAATGTTGGGCAGATGTAGGAGGGTGGTGGTTCATGGTCGCGCATTCAAGTAGTCGAACACACAACCATTTGAGAAACAACAGGAGTCCCAGCAAGTGATTTATCCCCAGCCGCAGCAGCCACAACGATACAGCAAACAGGGAGTGGAGTTGAGCAGAGCGTAGCGTGGAGCGGTGTGGTGGAATGTGGGGAGGGGGTTGGAGCAGTCAGAAAGATGGGGAAAGAAAGAGAAAAAAGAATGAAATATGTTAGACTTCTAGAAATATTTCCTCATTAATATTTCAAAGGGGAAAAATATTAAACAACGTCGAGCAATTCTGGACAGGAATGGTAACATATGTAAAGCTTTCATGTTCAAAATCATGGTATAAAATTAGTCTTGAAAGGATCTTCATAACTAAAGAAGAAACAAGATTTTATAAACCAACCACCCCAAAAAATAATTTCAGTCCAACCACCGAAACAGAACTCCTTATGCCTTAAATTATTTTGCTCTGGCGTCAAGGCTTCGTCAAAATAATAAATGTTACAACAGCTGAGAACATTATCTCTACTTTATTTCATGCAGAATAAACAACAATACTAGGCATGCGAATTGACTGTAGGAGAAGTCATGGGGGAAGAGTGAGAGTGCAAGTTTTGCTCTGACAAGCTGAGATAGCAAACACCAAAGATGAGGTATGTTTCAGAAATTGAAATTTTTGGGAGGTTGAACTGGTATTTTCTTCAAGAAAATCTTTAAGAATGTCATTACAAAAGCTTGTTGTACTTAGATTTGCATTAATATGCTAATGCTCACAAATATCTATTGTTTTTAAAGAAAAGGGCTATGATCTGTATATTCTTTCTTGCTTCATTCTATCACAGATTCAAATTATTCATCTTTTAGCACTCCAATGTGGAAGAGCAGAGCAAGCTGTTTTTCTATACTCGTATTGACTTGCTATGCTCAAAGGCTTAGGAGCTTTTGTATCATTACTTTTAGTAACCACAGTTCAGTATTTAAGTGTACTCATTAAAAAAAATAATTTTGAATCAACTTTCCATAACTGAAGAAGAATGAAGTCACTCTGAAAATCTTATGAGGTCTAAGAAATGCAAAAAGCTTTTTCATGGTCTTCAAAAAGTTAAAACTTAACATACTTAAATTGTGTTCCTTTTATTATAACCCCCTCTCTCAAACACAACTAAGGCACATTTCTCTGCCAGAATCCTCAGAAAGAAACACCAAATATATGACAGGAAGAACAAGCTCTTTTCTTAAAGTATTTAACCAAAAGAAAGTTGTACAGTTGAGCTTCACACATTTATTCTAAAGCAGATGATTGGAAACAGTTCTGATATAAATCTAAAAGATTAGGATCAGGTTGGATAAATATTCTTTCCCAGACAAGACAAAGTATATCTTTCCCAGACAAGACAAAGTATATCTGTCCCAAACAAGACAAAGTCTGTTCAACAGTAGTTAACACATTTGATAAGACCACCCTACACAGAACCTCTTACCTCCTCATCAAGGTTTGATACCAGGATCACGGAGCTTCCCATGGCTGCTGTGAGGGGCAGACCAATTCGTGCTGCACCCAGAGCTCCTGGAGGTAGGCCGAACCCACCTAGAGCACTCATTGCACCCATAGGGACGCCTGAATGTGACATAACTGTGAGGACACAAATAGCGAAGTGCATCAGAGATGTCAAAGTTTGAACTAAGAATTACACATAATTTATATCTTGAAAGTGACACAATAGATTATGTGTGTGTATGAGTGGGGACAAAAATAACAGCATTATAAGATAGGAAGAATTGCTGTTGTAGTAAATAGTTTAAAAAACATTAGAAACATTTCTCATAAAACTATCATCAGTCATGTGCATGATTATAATCTAGGCTCATGAGATGAATTTGTTGACTTTTACAGCAAGATTACAACAAAGTAGATTTTTTTTTTTTCAGCATAATATTTCCTTAAGACTGAGGAGAACTAAAGTAGTTGGCATGGAAAGGGTTTACATCACATAGCCACGCCCATCACAGTTTGACCTTTCACACTTGAGCATGATGAACTGCCTTTTTCCTGTAAACAACTGAGAAATGTATACACAAAATCGCAACCCGAGAAATACAAAGTTCTATCTGCTCACTACCTAGTTGTGAGAAATTGGACATAAAAATGTCAAGCTTTTTCGAATGAAATTCTTTGAATATCTCTGTAACGACCTCTGCAGCAGCAGTAGTAGTAGTATAGGGTTTTACGGCGCTCGCAACTGCGTAAGAATATCTCTCTAACGACTCCTAACAATCTGATGATTCTGACAGAGCAGAAAGAACAAGTGGTCTCTGACCTCATTGTCTCGGTAACTCAAGACAGCCAAAAATGTCCGATGGAATTTTGAAATTGTGAGGTAGCAAAATGCCAAAGTTTGTCAGAAAGTGACTTTCTCTGTACACATAATATACAATGTTCAATATTTTAAATACTTTTCAGTGCCCTAACAATAATATACTGAAAATACTATCTTCATTTACGAAAAAAAAGAAGAGTATTTCAAAACTGGTTTACCTGGAATGCCATAGCCCGGTGCTGGTTGGTAGTGGGAATGGGCAGGAAGAAAAGAGGAGACTACTTTACATAATATTGTCATATAATTTTCTTGTCAGACAAATCATAAGTCTTTGTTTTCTGACCAGATGTTTTTCATGGAACTGAGACAGAAAATAGAAAATTCTGAGATAATTAGGCTATGACGCAAGTCACGAAGGAAATCATTTTTCAGAACTCTACCAATGGGGCTATCGTCTCATCTGGCTTTACTTTTACTTGCGGAGGACTCTACAAAAGGTAACATTGATTTTGAAATATCGCTTCGTTCTTCAGAAATTCATCTGGTCATCTTCAGTTGAAAATAAAATGTTATCATGATTTGGAATCATATTGTAGTCATAAAAAGAAATGGATGAGTAAATTTCCCAGTTGGAAGTGTGAGATTTTGCATGAAGCTCCCCACAATGAAACATAAGAAATTAATAATAATAAAAATAGAAGATTAAAAATTCTGAGGCTGAGGATCCGGTATTTCAAAACAAAATCTTCAAACAGATTGCTATACTAACAAGAAAAACCTGATTGATAAAATGCATTATCAGGTCAGGCTGTGTACGAGATCAAAACATTCAGTCAACAAACCGTTCAAGCGCTTGCAGAATGTTAAAATGTTAGTAATTGAAAATGTGTGTTGTCGCAGTTGTTTTGTGAAAAGCAGCAATCTCTCACATTCGCCTTGTAAAAAACACGAGGACTGAAAGTAAGACATCCGTACAACCTACAGGAACAACATTTTTCTGACAGCAAACTTTTCCTGCCTCGTTGTATCACTTGTTCACAATGAGTTTTGCACACAGCAAAATGTTGTTAGTCTCGTCAGCCCTATACAGCTGCTGTTGTAAAATGGTCCAAAACAATAATCTTAGCGCCATGTTTAAAAGATGGTTTTGAGAGGCATCAAATACCATGTTTAAAAGATGGTTTTGAGAGGCATCAAAAACCATGTTTAAAAGATGGTTTTGAGAGGCATCAAATACCAAAGTCTCAGTTTTACGTCTGCCCAAAGGCTTAGTGATGAATGAAGTGCTGTGTAACATTAAAAGACGCCGCCAGTATTTTTGACAGATCAAGGAACAGTGTTATGTTTGTGATTGACTGAAAATCTCAGGTACATCTCAGGTACATATTGTGACTTCTCTAAATTTTTATGTACATTCCAACATAGTAAATCCACTCGTTGTTAGTTGTTGCAGAATCAGAAAACGGGACAAGACGATGGGGAAGAAATATATAGAAGCAAATCCCACGAGAGGAGAGTAAACATGTTATCATTGGTGCGAGTCATCGTAAATTGTAAAATATCATAGCCGCTTGCAGGAGTATGGAAAATGGCTAGACCACCACCGACAAACAGCAAATGTGGAAATTAGTCATAAAGCAATATCAGGGCACTGATTTCTAACATCAGTTTCTATACTTGTGCATTCTGAAGCATTCTAGTAACAGCCAAACACTAAAACAAAAAGGGTAAATGGGAAACAGGAAAAAAGATGAACCAAAATGAAATGAAACCAAAACAAATGTAACCGCTAATGCAAATAGATGCATATCAGCACAGGATGGGTAGTGATGAGGTATCTGTCGTCCTTGAGTTAGTTGACACAACCATCCGGATAGCTTCACACTTTTACCACCCCCCCTGGTCACTCTTGGTTCACCACAAAAAGGATGCCTTCAAAAAGCGTTACAATCACTCAGAGTGGAAGATTCTCAAGGACATTGAGTTCGGAAGAACGCACTTTACAAATGAAACAACGATAAAGGGGAGTAATTACCTGCCGTCTGTTGAGCGGGCACTGTTCCCACGGCAGTGAGCTGTGCTGGGGCAAGTCCTTGGTATGTAGGCACAGGGGACACCAGAACCCCAGAAGAACCTTGCCAAGGACAGTAGGAGGGTTATAAATGGCATCACCTTTCCTTCCTCTACACCAACAAAATGCCTGGCACTCGCAGCTAGAGACAACCCATTGTCTGTTGTTCCTCACAGATTTCTTTTGATTGGTTCAGGATAGAGAGTTGTCTTTCAATCCCTTTAACCCGTTGCTTCATTTGCCTGACATTCAGTAATGATTTCTTTGAGGTGAGTTTGATCTGAAAGCTGTTTCTCGTCTCCCTAGCCACCTCCCTCTCCTTAGGTTTTCCTTACTGAAAGGCTCACATCCATCCAGACCCAACAGAAATGAATATCTGCATGCGAGACATATATTCCCTTCACATTTACACAGAAAGAAAAAGAAGATAATGGGTGAATTGTGAAGTTAGGAAAGAAGTGTTGGACCAGATGCACTTCATGGCAAGGGTCTGAGTTATGGTTGTACAGAGCCTAAAAATGCCATTTTGCTCAAGAATGCTTTACAATTAATACTGACAGAATCATGCTGTCTTAAAGGGCCATCTATGGTTATTGTGCTTTTTACCATAATGTTGTGCATATGTTTTTTGTTCTCTTCTTGTTCTTCACAATGAGCAAAGTCATGTGACGTGATAAAATAGTAAATTCCTTTGCTAAGGCAGGCCTAATGAAAAACGTATATGCCAGCTTATTTAACTGATTTAATAAAACTAACTGTGTATGCACACACTCATTCAATCTACTGAATAGGTGACTATCTTCACATTTTTTTTTCAATAGAACCCACACATTTGCAGGATTTACCTTTCAGTCTATACCTAAGAAATTACAGTTTTTGATCATGCCAAAGAAAAAGCTGTTCATTGAAGCTAAATCAGAAATACCAACATTTCTCTACGACTTGAAAGACTTTTCTCTTTGCCCACAGCTAACAAATTACAGTCATCCCACAACTGCAAGTGTGTCAGGACATATATATATATATACCACATCCAAAAGTCTCAAATGAACTTCAAGATTCAAGGGAAATATTTATGGGAAAAGAGATTAACAAGTGTGAGTGACAGGATTTTTTCCCTGAAGGACAGATGACCACTGCAACAAAAACGGTTGGCTGTTTTGCTGCTGTATAACACAGAAAGAACATTTATTGTGAAGCTGCATGTCGTTATAGAGTAACCTCTACGTAGCTGCGAGAAAACAGGCCAAGGAGTATAGAAGAAGAGTCTATAATATGCAGGGGTATACAAAACATGCACAACGGACCAGAAATAAATAATGACTACATTGAAAACTGCTGCAAAGTGCAAAAATGTTAGAGAATTAGCAGTTAAAGCAAAGGTATCGAGATATGTGCATTGCTCTTTTTAAATGCTAAAAAAAACATGTCAATAAATCATTTCCATTTTTAAGCGGGATGAATTTGTGAGCGTATTGGGATGCTAAAAATACCAGCCAAGGTAAAACCTCTTCTCAGAGAAGAGTTCCAAGATATCTTTTGCTTATCTACGGTACACTTGTAGATTCCCCAGGAGAAGCCAGTTTTGACAAACTATATTTCTTCACAAAAATATGCACCAGTAAAAGGAAAGCCCATTGAAACCAGTTGTCTACAAAACTCATACAAACAGAATGAAAGAATAATGAAAGAAGTTTCCACCTATAGCATCTTACCCGCTCCATTCTATCCCTCCTTCAAAGTCAGAATTTCTATTGAAATTCCAAATCATTGCGTCTTTGATTTTAATGACACAAGAAGGAGGGTACCGGTAAAATACTTTTTACTTTGATTCTTTTGCCAAAAAGTGAACACCCTGAACAACATAGATTCCAAGTGTACCTTTATGACAAATTGCATTGCCGGACTGCTTCTACCCCTGTTTGCACTGTCGTTCTATTTGCAGTGTCCTAAAAAGCATTTGAAGTATTAAAGCATTGTCGTGCACCAAACCATAGTCTCAGCAGTAAAAAAGCTTATACAAGTTCAATTGCATTAATTACCAAAAGTCCTAAAAAGCTCAAGTTTATGTCTACAAGTGTAATATGTGTGTTCAGGCGAGGCATTACCTCCCAAGCTCATTGCGTCAAGGTTTAGGTCACCAGTTGGCAGGTCAGGACGCGTGAAGTCCCTGCTTTTGTCATTGTTGTATTTGACGTTAAGATTGCTGAGTTTTGAGTAGTCAATCTTCAGAGTGTTGCAGCCATTGTAAATATTCTGACCATCCAAAGACTGTAGAAAATGTAAAATAAAGTTAATTATGCTTATACTGAACAATCATCATGCCATACATTACATACAACGTCATATCAACACGCAGACATGGCTAATCAAGGCACATATCATAAAACATTTACCAAACTTCAGAAGTTCTTTGTAAATTATGCCTGCACTAATACTCTTACTCACTGAGACTGTTCTTTCTCTCTGTCAACTTTTCAAAATTCTTCTAATCTCATTAACAGACTCTCAGCAGCCAGTATTTTCAAGGTAAATGCTTCAGGTATGAAAAAGAAATTCTTCTAATCTCATTAACAGACTCTCAGCAGCCAGTATTTTCAAGGTAAATGCTTCAGGTATGAAAAAGAAATAATAGAAACGTGTCTGACAATACATCACCATTGTGAAAATAGATACAAGATTGATTACCTCGGTAATGGGAAAAGTTATTTGTCATTCTTTAAAAAAGTGAAACATGTTTTCAAATTAAACTTTTCTGCCCAAAGACTAAATAGTTCCTACCGTCTTGGCTGCAGCTGCAGAAATGGCATCTGACATTTGAATTAAAGCTTGGAATGTGTCTGGAAAAAAAAACAAATACACAAACAAAACAATTAAATTTTATAAATTGTTCATGATGTCAAAGAAGAATTTGGTACTTATCTCAAATCACAAATTCTCGCAAGTGAGATAGTTCTTTTTTTTAAAAGTACAAAATTGTCTTTAAGCAGGGAACCAAACGTGAAAATAAATGATGCATGAACAAATCTTTGGACCAACACAAGTCAAAGGTAGACTCTTAAAAGATAATTTATTAATGGTTCTTTTTTTTCTTCAGAAAATTACCATATTTATCTTTCACTTTAAATAAAAATGACTCAATAAATTCAAAATAAAAAAAGTATCAACATAGAGCTCAAAATGGTACTTTGTTCATCACAGCATTTTTCTACAAAATAAAATAGAGCATATGCTGGATAAACGAAGACAAGACAAGAGGGTTTCTAAATACAGGGTGATAAAAAAACAACAACCAACTGTAAAATTTGTTTTGTGAATATCTTCCTCCATACTCAAGTTTTGCTTTTCAGATTTGAACGTAATATCTGGAAGCCAAAAAGAATTTGTCTGATATTCATTTTAGATAAGTCCATTGAATGGTTTTGCTCTATATGGCACATTAAAGAAACAACCCGTTTCCAACCTTGTCCCCATTTTCGTAGCATGATGCACCAGTTCGCATAAGGCCTACCCTAAAAGTTGCAACAATCGCGCCATATTGCAAGCTACAGCAGTCTTACAAGTCAACTGTAGTCTGCAGATATTATTTTTCCCATTTTAGGTGCCATTGAACATTTCGAACAACGTATGAAAAATGGGTCGAGTGCAAAGAAGGGCATGTACAGCCCTGCTTCTGGGAATTCCAGAATGAAATCAGTAGTTTTTAAACTTTGTCAAAGAAATGAAATATTGTTGAAATGTTAAAGGGATGGAAAATTAAATGTCAAAAGAGAAAATTAAAAAAAAATGAACCAATCTCTTCACGACTTCCTTTACAAGATTTTTTAAAAACTGTGAACTTTCCGTTTTTGGGTGCTTTTTTCTTTAAGCCATTTCCATTTTCAAAATAAGTTTCTCCTTCATGAATTTTATGTAAAACAAATGCCTTTTGAACGAATGATGTCTGTTCCAAATTATAATATTCTAGAATAATTTTTGTGTGAGACATTCAGAAAAAAAGTTGTACAGTTTTTTTTTGATCACCCTGTAGATAGAGAAGTTACTCACTATTCTTTGTAAAAGTGATGATCTTCAACACCTTTCCAAATTTATTAAATAACTGTGAAGAGAAAAGAGAAACAAGCATGTTATAATCACAAAAAGAACAAAACAAGTCTTCATTTTCCATATTTACAAAAAAAAAGCAACTTGTCTTACATTCGTGTACCTTATACAATCCAGTAGAAAATACAGAAGATAATGGGGAAAAAGTTTCAAAGCTCAAGCTTTGAGTTGATTATTTTCTCAACAATTAAGGTGTTAATATTTCAAAATATCATGTGGAGCAAAAATCGAAGTCAGATATCTGTGACAAGGCTATAAACAGGAAAAGTGAACTGTATGTTACCCCAGAAGTAATATAACACCAATCACAATGCCACCCACACATACAGCTTCTCTTTCTTATCCGAGAATTGATATTCCTTCCCTAGCACAGGCTAAAACGTTCAGAGAACTGAAATATGATGCAAAAGAAAACCAACCAAAGATGCTTACTATCAAGCTATAGTTTACTTTACAACAAGATGGATATTGAATTAATATGCCAGGACTTTGTTGTCTCTCATAAGCACAATAAGCAGGTTGATAACATTATCAGAACTGGAATAACTGGCATACTACCCTGGACTTTGCTGTCTCTCAAAAACACATGTAGCAGGTTGATAACATTATCAGAACTGGAATAACTGGCATAGAAATAAGAGAACTTGAACTGGTGGGAGATGAGAAAATAACAGGATAATATGAGGAGGTGAAAGAGGAAGCGGGAGAGGGGTTGGAAGAGGAGATGGAGGAGAAAGAAGAAGATGAGGAGGAG